AAAGCCGAAACTTGAGCAATATTAGTGGGTGCTGTAGATGGGGGGGGGGGGGATTTTGCCATTTACAGTATCGTTTTGGAGGAGAAACAGCCAAGTCCACTGACTGACAGACAAACAGACAGACTGACAGATAGACAGACAGACAGACAGACAGACGAAAATTTTTGCGTCGAAGTTCTGCAAGAAAGGCTATCGTTTTAAAAAGTCAGTGGTTTTCGCTTTCGAGTCGTCTTAGTGGACTGCAGAAGGAAGCCTGACAGTTCTAAATAACCAGCTCACTTCTCCTCGTGCCCCCCCCCCCCTTTTTTTTGTGCCCTAACATGTGAAAAGACAACAGATGTGAACTTGCGACAACAGTTCCTTATAAGCGGACCATTTAATCAAAGTTTGTTTTCCCCACGCGTAGTGAGACAACTATATGCGTGGCTATGCTCTAGCGTGTCAATGCTCAGCCACTCGGAAAACGGATCGAACGCGCCACAGAAATAGCGCTTTGAAACCTCCGATGCGAAATAGGCAACATGTGCTGCCAGAAATTGCTGCTTTCGCTCGCTAGGCTGCATTGAGATGCTTCAGTCACCGTAGCTAAGTTTGAGCGCTGTCGCCCCCTACAGTTCGACTGTCATTAAGGCGAGAACTAGTGAGCAGGTTTTAAGTTTGCAACAAAACAAAGCAGAGGTACAGGATGCAGTCAGTCTGGACAGGAAATCATTTTCTCCCTGTTGTCACAGCACGATTGTGAACAGATAATGTGGTTCTTGAAATTTTATGTATTCATTGTGCACTTTCGGAAGCACGACTTCTGGCAGAGATACGACAGCTTCGAACTTAAGTCTGCGTCAGCTTCAATGAGCCAATTACTCCAGGACGTAATCGCTTAAGCGTGACATTTTTAGCGGGCAATATCAAGGAAGCATAGCGAGGTTACAGCAGCTCATACCAGACGAAGATTCCGAGTTTCGTTATGTGAATTTGGTAACAGCTCACTTAGCAACAACACCGCGTAGCTGAAACTACGCTTGTGATTCCACGAATTCAGTTTACAAAGATATTGTGGCTGCATTTCATATGAGGGTATAACATAGTTAATGTATAGTGTACCGAAGTTTTCAAGGGACAGTTCAGAACTGCTGACGCCTCAAAAAGAAAGACGGGCTCTCTCTTGTAAAATTTGCTGTGCGAACGTCTCACAGGAAGATTGCGTGAGCTACAGGGTAAAAAGAAAGAGCAGTGGTCTCATCATAACGTTTTCCCCAGCGAGATGCTAGAACGCAAGCAGCCACCGCATTTTGTACACCACGTGAAAACTTGCCTTCAGCGAGTGCACACACCAGCTGCAAGACTGTTTGCAATTGCCCACAGCTTCCTGCACGAGATAAACTAATCCAACTCTCCGAAATGCCCCTGTAGTTAGGAAGATGAGAGTGTTGTGGACATTGTTTTGGAATGCGTCAAGCGCACAAATATAAGAAGAAAAATTACAGACTAAACCAGAAAGTTTGAAGAGACGCCTCCTTGCGTTGGGAAAACTTCTCGGATCGCTGTTTAAAATGCGCTTTCTGAGAAAGGCGAGCACCTTCCTGAAAAATTTCTTAGTATACACAAGACTAGATACACACTTGAGATGCACAGCTTTATGTAGCCATATACGGAATGTCATTTTATTTCATATACCGTGGGCAGAACTAGGAATGTGCAGGTGAGGACACTTGGTTGCCTTCAGAACTCATGCAAACAAACTGTACATTATACATGCCATTTTAACTTGTGTCAGTGTGCTTTATGTTTTTGTTTGTTTGTTGTTTACTTTTTGTTTTGGGTGAAAACTTCTCTTTGCTGTGCAGAACTTATAAGAATGGAGATGCCGAGGTAATATAAAAGTTCTATTGTTCCACACTGAGCCAGTTAAAACAAAACAAAGCACACACACAAACACACACGTCATCATCACCATCCACATTGTCATCATTATCACCCCATTTCTTTCTTCTTGAGGGTGGCATGTCTATCTTCAGAAGGGTTCCCGAACCGTCACATTGGCACCATAAACGTCGATAGCTCAACTTCTTACAAAGGCTGAAGAACGGCAAGCCGCCAACTCACGTGCTTTATTGTCAGTTTGTAAGGGTTTTAACAGCATGTTTGTCGAACATAAGTTCGCTCCACCATCTAGCGCGAAAAACTCTTGTTTGCGCTTGGTCCTAATCAGTGGCATTACTAAGCAGCAGGAGGAGAGGGTGTCGACTATGGCCCTAGCCATGATCACAAGATTTTGTGCCCTTGTAGATATTCGATCACGTGATACACGGTGTTATTGGGTTACCATGCCTCCTTCTTTTGCTATGCAGTCGTCGGAGGTATGGGTTATAGTTCGTTAAGTGACAAATGCCAGGCGTGATGAGCCTTGAAAATCACCCCAAGTCTTGCTAGCCCTCACTAGGCCTCGCCAAGTCTATAGTCACGTCGTCGACAAGAACACCAATTCGTGATCGGAACCCCAATGATTGCAACACTCCTAATGCTATCTTAGTGCAAATTGACTCGGGCAGACTGCGAAAATCTCTGCGCTCCTATGGTGATACTTCCGTGCCAATAATTCTTACAGTACCACGGCACTACGGTCATTAGGGCTCAGTGAACAATGTTCACTTCCACCTTTGGTGTCCGTGTCGTTATCTCTTCGAGGAGACATAATGGGACATCTCCAACGGCACCATGGCATGGAAATGAAGAAAGAACGTGACAGATGCTGCGTATGCATCACGCAATAACTGGTTGATATAATTACTCTCTCGCACTACACAATTGTTACGCGACAAAACTTACGCAATGTACTACTTTGAGGCAAATTAGGAGTTGAGCAGAGGCACTGTGCTCATTTCTTAATTTCCCACGAAAATATGTGTCGTCTCATGTCCCGGTACAGGCACAAGAACAAGCAGTGAATATGCACTGGAAAGCTTTAAGAGCTATCTCTGGTACATCTGTTAAGCCTAGTGACCATGAACATGCACGGGGTACGTTATTAGGGAGGGGGGGGGGGGTAAAGTTTTGTCAGAGCAACCTCTATCCCGTTGTTCGAGTCCAGAACACAACGTGCTTCATAGTGGATGAAAAGATTACAATGAAGCAATGGCGTGTTTCTCACAGATATCTGTCTGTGGTTCGCTGCTCTCTTAAGTGAATAAGGCAATCATACTGTTCTTATCACTTCACAAACGGGTCCTTCATTCCCCATCGTCATCGGAAATCTACTCAGTCATAGCCACCAAGCCTGCTCAGGCCTGACCGTGTAACGATAAGGGTCAGACATTTTAGCGACCCCTCCACCTCCTCCCCCCCCCCGCACATGTTAGAGGCGTGTTTTAGATCGCAATGGAGTTGTGTATTGATTTCTTAAAGGGCCTTGCCACACTTTTCTGAGTAATCATCGAGTGACCTGCGTGCCGTCGGTTATAGCCTCAAGAGGCGACTGCCGCAAACTTTGCTTGAGTATTTGAAGTGTTAGCGGAATCACTGGCGCTTTTCACACGACTTAAGTGCTTCTTATAATAAGGGGGAGGGAAGCGGCAAGTTGTTGCTTTTTACACGCACATGCACGCATGCATGCACGCTCACATACACACACGCACGCACGCACACACACACACAACACACACACACACACAAGCACGCACACATACACAAACATACATACACACATACACACACATACACACCCACAGAAACACAAACACACACATTTGCTGATATCAGTGTTTGGAAAAGCCTTAACGTGCTTTTTAAATGTCCCTTTCTCCAAAACCATCCATATTTACAACAGACACCTGACATTGAAGAATATGCGTTGGATGCTTCTTATCGACCACCTTCAAGATGCGCATTTTGGTGGTGCGGCTAGATCTAGCAAACCCATACGTTTGTTGCCGCTAAAAAATCTCGTCTGGTAAGCGGGAAGTCTGGAAGAGACAAACATAAAATAAATGAATTGCAGAAAAGGGCTACACGAAAAACGCATAACACCTCACCTAAAAGCATCATGTCACATTTTAGTCTAAAGAACTGCAGAATCAGGGCGTGGTGTCGGGGATTCAAAGAGTTGAAAATTAGAGAACACAACCCCAAAAATCTTGCTATCATCCTTACCGCGTGTAATGATACTCAGAAGACCGACAAAGACGGAGGCACCACGAGAAAAAAAAGGAATGGTGGAACACGAAGAAACAAGGTCCCAACAGTGGCATCAGCGTTTCTCGTTGAGAACGATCAGTCTTCATTTTGAGCCGCGCTCAAGCCTTGACTTCTTAGGCCTGGCACAACCAAAGAAAAAGGTGAAAGCATCGCCTCAAGACTCAAGAGAGTGAACTCCGACAAAGGCAAGCCCCCTACACAGGGTGACACGTCGGGAATATCAAAATGTTGCTTGCTCTTTAGCTACGTGACTTTCCTTTTTTATACTCCCCAACGCCTCCGCTATACCATGACGTCACGCTGCCGCATACGTCACTATTCGTCACAACAGTTAGCCCACGCATTGGGCCACTACACCTTAGCATCTTTTTTTAGAGGCGGTGAAGTCTGTTGGAGAGAGAAGGATCGAGAGGAGACTGACATCAAAGAAAGCAATACGCAAGGACGAGGGTGAGAGAGAGAGTTTAGAGAAGACAACAGGTTTCAACCCTGACTCGCAACGTAGCGGAGGGAGAGCCACCTCCCTGAAAATAATAAAGGAAGCAAAAGGTGGTTGCAGGCCCACTTCAAGGGAGCACCGTATCGAGCAAGCTTTCAGATCTCTCCTGTTTTCCTTCCTTTCCTTCCCTCCGACGCCGCGGCCATGTTGCGCCGCTTTTTTCGCGCCATGCGGAGCGCGCGCTCGGCTCCCATTGGCTAACTGTCCGGGAGCCGCGCATGCGCGCGGCGCCTCGGCGCTCTTTTTTCCCCCGCTCCTCCTCAAAAAGAAAGCCGGTCCGCTGCCGCCGTTCCCGCTGCACCAAGCAGAGCCCCGTTCCCGTGAAGAGTTGGACTCTGCCGCAGAGCGCCATCGCTACGCATAGAACGAACGCGCGGGTGCTCCACTTTCTCTTTGCCTCTCCGCACTCTGGCGAGTTTTGATCGAAGGGGCCGGGCGAAGGCAACAGTGCGCCTGCCGTCCCAGTAGGCACTTTCTCCGCGAAGGCTTCAGTGCTCCAGCCAGTGTCTCTCATCAGAGGGTTTCATTTGCAAGCGGGCGCTAATAAGGCACCGAAAAAAAAAGCAATCATTCAAGAAACAAGAAGAACGGCAAAGAAGTCGTGCTGTTGAGGGAGAGAAAAACCCAGTGACTAAGCGAATTAAACAGAAAAGGACCGGCACATCGCCTCCTCTGGCATCATTCGGAAACTGAACGCCCGCTGCCACAGCTCCTCGTCCTTGTAGCGGTCTCCTAGGACTCGACGGCCTCTGAGATCTTCCTAGGAACGTCGCGTGAACGTTCTGAACACCCTGAGAACATTTTCAAATGTTCGGAAGAAGGGACTCACTTCTGAATTTTCGGCATTGGTTGAGTGCAAGCTTTTAAGGAGGTAGAGCGACGACTCTGCTCAGAGCTTTCTGACAGATATCGGAACAGTGAGGAGAGGAACGAACTTTTGTTGAGACAGGGAAACAAGCTTAGCCGAATTCTTGGTCCGGTGTTTGTTGGTCGTCGTCGTCAGCGACGTCATTGTAAGAGGTTTCGTGGTCTACTTCCCGAGTGAGACGATGCTTATGAGGGCAGCGCAGCACTTCATCTTGTGGGGGGTCGTTCTGGTCGGACTGGCACAGGGAGCCTACTTGATCAACTTTTCTCACGTGCTCAACAGGAACCTGGGAAACGTGAAGCGCGAAGGTGAGTTTGTTGTGTTGATTCGGTACCGCTAACCTGCATGCAGTTTTATTTTTCATAATTTTTTTCTTTGATAATGTCGCGATTAGTTGGGAACGCCGATCGAGATAATTTTCATCGTTACGATTCACTAAAGCATTCCTTAGTTGCGCCAGCGATGTATTCAGCTTTTGGTAATTTCTGATGACTTATTTGTGATAGTGGAACCGCAAATTTTGTGTTTTGTTTTGCTCTAACTGGCTCGCCGTGCAGGGGTTGTTAGTTATGTCACTTTGGCTGCTGCAGTTCTATACCTTCGGCCACTCAACAAAAAATGAGGAAGCGGTTCACCCGAAAACAAAGTGAACAAGTAATGAAACGAAATACAAGGAACTGAAACAAATAAAAATGACGTTTCAATGAACATTTTGCTTGTAGGAGTTCGGTTTACGATAGAACACTCGCAGGGCTACATTTCTGTCTAAGTTGTTTCCCAAGTATTCGTACTAAGATATCAGACTGTGTGTAACAACTCGTAGCTGTATATCCCAAACACTCATTTAGTACATTGTCCCGCAAGCAGTACTGTTAGAATTTGTGGTATTTTCTGTCAATGGTCTTTCGGCCGTACACAAAGTAATTTTTTATCAAGAAAGGGTGTTTACAATATATCACTTACCTGATGAAACGCAGTGGCAGCCATCAGAAACAGGTGACTGTGGTCGTAATAATACTTCATTTTTGCCCCGGTAACAAAGCTTCCGCGAATAACCATTTTCAATACTTGATTGCACTGAAAACGACAAAATTAGGTTCGGTTATTCCGGTTCAAATTTCACAAACATCTGAATTAAGTTATTAACCTTAACACCTCTTGTTCCGACTTCTATAAAATATTTTCACTCATTATCCGCAACATTCCAGAAAACCCGGGATATTGCAGTTGTAACGCTGGTATTTTGCGGGGATAGAACGTTGGCTTCTTCAAGCCTGTCTTATTCAAAGCTTACATTGGAGTAATTGTTTCTTTTCGATCGCTTTGTTGAGACCAGAACAATATATTTGATGTGGTGCTAGCCGTGAAGACCACATTATCCGCTTTAGCTTCCCAAGATAACTTTCATAATAAGCGGAAGCAGTAGTAGGAATAACGTTTTTTCAGTTCTTTTGCGACGAATTCACGAGAACTTCGTCTTCAGTGTACACTGTGGAACAATGAGCTCAGTTCGCTAGAAACCTCTTCGCAAAGACCTGTCATATTTACTGGAAATCACTAAGAGAGCTTTCATCGTATGAAAGTAAGAAAGAGCTTGGTGTTTCCAAGTTTTATGTGCGGATGAAAAGTATGTTCAGTGTTTTCATCGTCCATAAACGAAGAAATGAAATTGTGATGTTGATCGAATGTTGCGAAGTCAGACATTATCTTCCTATGGAAATGTTTGCCTATTGTGATATACAGCGACACATTTCGAGCATTGGTGTGTCAGGCTCTAGCATTTTATGGAGAAGCAAAATATGTTTCCAGATTTTGTCGTCAGCGTTTAGTGAACAAACCACGGTGCCTCCGCTAAGCTTAAGACTGTTTAGTTGCGACCAGAAGCTTCTAAGGCAGTAAATTGAACATGAAGTGTCCGTATAAGCGTAAGCATACTGTAAAAGAGGTAAATAAATATTCTAATATAGAAACATCTGTTTATTGTTTCAATAATTTGTCTACCATGAATGACGTCAGAATAGTGACGGCAAGCCCACACCTGCTCGGTTTTTTTGTATAGGTATTGGTTCATAAGTATGAAAATAAAAGATGGCTGCCCAGAAACTTACGAAAACTTTGTAGAAAGTTTTTGAAAAGATGGGTAATATTGTCAATGGAGTGCGCGCGAATTTTATGTGAAATACTTTTATGGTACTCAGGGGAAATCATGACTATCTGTTGGTCAGTTTATTTTTTCACTCATCACTGCTTGCATCAAAGCGAAACGGGAGGTATAGACTGTACAAGTCATAACGTTATCGCTTCTTGATAGACGTGAAAGTTATTACTTTTTACTGATGTAGTAAGAATTTCAGGTGAAATTTGCTCACAATTTTCACATCTGCGAAATGCTCTCCAGTCCTGTTTTCCAACATCGAACACGCTCATTGCTGACTTATGATTTGCGTTATAATAAAAATGGTAATATCTTTCGTGAAAAAAATCTTTTATTCTTTCGAAGTATGCCGAGAGTATCGAGACTTGTTTTTAATGAAAGACCGCTTAAGCTGTGGCATGTTATAATTATTCAAATGAAGCTCGGTCACTAAAAGCACGCTGGTATTGCTCCTTTCTGAATACTCATCATTTTAGGGGCAATTGCTGGGTACATAAAAAACCCACATTACTAGACACTATGATAATGTGCAGTTACCATATTTGCTAAATGAACTTAAGATGAAATCGTCGCTTTAACAACAAAAGAGATATAATTAGCGTCCTAGTGATAGCCTCCCTAACCATCCACAAATCTCTTGCTTTGGATTATAGATTTTTACGTGGTCACAGTTCTGAACATAGCAGCCAGAGATGCTACATCACGGCATTGCAAAATATTTTTCGCTTATATGAACAGCTGAAATAGTTACAATGCCTAAATTCTGTTCTAGAATAATGTTTTGGCTTAATTTAACGTTTGTTATCACAATATAACAAAAGTGCAAAGTTTATTCCCAGTGCAATTAAAAATGAGTTAGAATATTGAAGAAAGTTATATTCTTTTAAAGAACAGACAAGAGCAACGTTTCGTTAAGTACACAGTTTCTAGAAAAAAATGTTGCAAATCTACAAGTTTTCGCCAGCATAACTTAATCCACGAAGCACCTTTCGGCTGAAGTCTCAAATGAGTCAACAAGGAATACGATATAACAACCGAAGATTTTTTATGGGGAAATTTTTTTCCTTTACGGAAGAAAGAGCACATGTGCTTCCGCAAATTTCTCGAATGACGTCTAGAATGACATTCACCGTGGTGAAGCAGTGGCTATGGTGCTACGCTGCGGACCCGTAGGTGGCGAGTTCGATCCCGGTTACGGCGGTCACATTTCGATAGATGCGAAATGGTAGAAGCCAGAGTATTGTTTGATGTCAGTCCATAATAAAGAAAACCAGATGGTCAAAATTTCTGGAGCCCTCCTCTTCACCATCTTTCATGATCGCATCGTGGTTTCTAGACGTAAAACTACGTGTGTTATTATTACTTCGGGAACGACTCGGACCAGAAATGCCCCCAGCGAAAATGCCTTTCATTCTCGAAACGCCAATCTGTAATCAAGCAGCAGATCAGTTACATGAAGATCCATGAAGATCTCAGCGTGGCATTTGCATTGCTGGCGAAAATTGCGATGTACTGACAGTGAAGCATCAAGTGCAAACAGTGCCTGCTGATACGAAACGCAGCACCAAAAATACTAGCTGATCGCAAGTCGTAATAATATATGACAAACAGCAAACTCTAATACGTAACATTATATGAATATTCATTTTTATTGCACACAGTGAACATTGCTTGAAATATACGATGCCTATAGTAATTTTAACAATTGTAAACCGTGACTGAATCTTAGCTAGTATATAAAATGGACCTTTTTTACCATACGGTGTTTTTAGATCAGCTTGATAACAAAAACAACTAGCTAAAAAAACTATTTTGTGAAGAAAAGAGCGCGTACTTGATGCTGTCGGAAAATTAGAGCTGGTCACTGTACCGCGAAATGTAAACAAGGACGCCAAGCGAGACATGATACTGAGAACAGACGTAGACGCCTAACGTTATCTTTTAATATTTATTTTTAACCGTGCGCAAGCTGTCAGTCGAAAGTTAAGGTTCACAATTCTCAAATGCTGCTGCACAGTTGGATAATTCTTAACCCCTCGAGAAACTTATTTTTCTGGGCCGACGTAATTTAATTGAGCTAATTAAAACGCTAAATAATACTAGCTATGCGCTTGGGCAGTATTATAATTTTCAAAGCAGTTTGTATGATTGTTTGGGAAAATAGCCACAACGCATCCAGAACAACGTGGTAAAATGAAATATAACCATTCCATTTACGTTCACTTATGCACACGTGTGTACATATGTGACTACTTGTCTGTTTGAAGCAGTTGCTCACGCTGACATAAATACGCTGACTAGAGCCACAATTCACCTAAAACGAAGAAATGGCCCTAATATCTACAATATACGAAAACTGAAACCACCCTGCGGTCTGTGACGTGTATTGTAAATAAGTTCACCTGAGAAGTGAAAAATTAACAAAACCGTCAATCCACCAGAGAAAAAGAAAAGAAGAACGCATCAGTGAATGTCTACACGAAGTACAGCAGCCGTAGCCTTCTCGTTTTAATTTTTTATCCTACCCAAATGATGTTACCGAAGCTGGTGCCATTTCTTGTGCCATTTTTTTCCGTCATACACAATGCACCATACGCCCTACCGTGCTGGTCTAGTGGCTAAGGCACTCGGCTGCTAACCCGCCGGTCGCGAGGATCGAATCCCAACAGCGGTGGCTGCAGTTTCGATGGAGGCGAGAATGCTGTAGGCCCATGCTCCGGTTTGGTTGCGCGCTAAAGAACTCCCAGGTTGTAGACATTTCCGGAGCTTTCCACTACGGCGTCTCTCCTAATCGTATGGTAGCCATAAGGCAATCATATCAACAAGCAGGGTACATTTCAATTACTCAAGGTAACTATCTTTACGCGATATGACAAACGTTATTAGGGCTGCTTTGCGTGCGTGTTTCGTTCAAGCGTACAGATATGGTAATCTTAAGCACTTGTCGCTAACCACCAATTCACTTTGTAACTCACCAGAATGACTGCCATTATGGATAATGTGTGTTGCTAATCGATGTCTGCAAACGTCATGAAGAGACCGTTGATGCTAGGTTGGGAGGCTCTCACCGAACTTGGCAGTACATTCCCAGTTATGCTTCATAAATACATTAGCCAAGCTGGTTCGTAATGTTTCCAGGTTGCCTCTGTTAGT